CTTCGCCCACGGTCCTTTCCCTCCTCTTCCTTACGACACATAGCTTCCAAGACATATATGTAACGAGGGCTACACCCTCCCAGCCGCGGTTCTACGAATATATCCAATCCGGCGCCTCCCCATCATTAACTCCTTCTTCTCCACAAGCGCCTCTGAAATCCTGGCCCTTGTTGAGCACGAGACCGGGGCTAACTACGGATAGCCATCTATTTTTGTCGTCTTCATTTGATCCATTTTATTCCTTTCCTTTTTCAACCGAATCCTTCTATCCAATCCCTTGTTCTCATCATTCTTATCAACAGCCTTCTGGACTTCTCGACGTCAGCTTTGTCACCCTTTTGTTCTTCTTCTACCCGACCAACTCTCCTGTCCACGCAAAGAGAAGTGTCTGCATTTCAGGAGAAAACAACAAACGATTTCCCCCTACACCGTACGGTTGTCGCCGTCGCCGTCGCCTTATTGGGAACGAGGCTTGTCACTTCATTACGGCCTCTTCCCATCTTCCAACTGTCGCAATTCGTCCCCCGACCACCCACTCCCCAGTCCAGTCGCCGCCATGGTATCCGATCCCGGATCCAGTTCATATCCAACACCTACCGGCCGTCCCTCCATGTGGAATCTCTCAGGCCAGCGTAAGCTTAGCCGCTTGTATACCTACACCAACCTGCCTCTTCCCCGCATCGTCAAGGTCCTCGACTCCTTGCGTATCTCAAACACCGGAGAGACGCCGGGGTATTTAAGACCCTCCCACCGTCTCCTCTCCTCTTTGCAAAGCTCTTTGCCACCCGACTGTCCCTTCTAACCCAAGAGCAACAGACAGGACTCGGTGAACAAGAGGCTCAACGCCAACCTCGATAAGGAGCCTCGATGGCTTCGCCCAAAGACGAAATCCGACATGAGCCGCCGCATCGACGAGCTCGCCAATTCGTCCATCCGAGGGCAGAAGCGAAACTCAATAATGAATTCCTTCGGTCGCCTGCGCTCAAAGTCCAGCCCCGCCTCCGCCGCCCCAACCGCAGAGCACACCGGGCATCTACATTCCCTCGGAGACCCTTCGGACATGGGCATGCATTCCACCTGGCTCGATGCGGCGACTGTGGCCGAAGCTAGCCCCTGGCACCCCGACCTCGCACACTGGAACCAACCTGCCGCCCCTCCCCCCCCCGCTGTGACCACCCAGCAGCTGGCATCGCCTCAGGTCGCCTTCGCCGATCCTAGCAGACCTATGGCTATGGGCCCCGTCTCGGTCCCGCCCGAGCCTGTGACCGCCCCAAGTTTGCGGCGACGGACTACCGTCGCGACTACCTCCACGGACATGACCTCCAACACCCTCGCAGACGCCCTCTCCCAGTGCTCATCCGACTATGTCCGCAGAGTCACCCGGCTCGTCAAGCGCTACACACTGTCCGGACTTGTCACTGCGCCTTCTACCCTCGACGAAGGCGAATCCGTGCCATCCGAATCGCGTCCCGGCACATCCGGCTCCACACGAAGCTCGTGGCTCGACGACGACGATGACGGAGATCACGCCCGCCTTCCCGACGACACCAGGCGGCTACCGGGCGATTTTCTTCAAATAGACTTTCAACTCTCCGAGAAAGGGCCCTGCCTGCTCTTACAGGAGCACGAATCCAGATCTTGCTTCTGCTACGCCAGAGAGGAACTCACCCATGCACACTGGGTCTCGGATGAAGGCCTTTCGGCCAGTCTCCGTCCCGTCTTCCACAACGACCCGTCGGCCTTATCCGCCCTAATCCACGAAAGAGATCCTTTCGGCAACACGCTGCTCCATCTCCTCGCCTCCCGAGGCGCGCCCCACAGCTTGCTGCACCGCGCACTCGATCACGCCTCCAACGCTTGCGTTAAAAACAGTGCTGGACAAACCTTCCTCCATCTCCTGGACGATTCCTGGTTTTTCTCCTCCACCGGAATGCCGCCCCTTCTCAGTCTCCTTCGACGTCTGAGTAAGGACGCGTACTTCGACATCTACTCCTCCGATGTGTACGGGAGAAGCATTTTTCATCTTCTCGCAACAAAGCTGGACGAGACCGAGAACGGCCGCGGGATTGGCGCTGGGATACGACGGCACTTTGAGACTGCGAAATACCGTCGTCGGGACGCTTTCGGCGTGGTCCCGGGAGAAGACGAGACACCTCTTTCTCTTCCTCTTCCTCCTTCTCTTTCTCATTCAGGCCCACCAGCGGGGATACCAAGCTCAGACGATGCGCAGCCAGATAACGCCCGAGACGCCGGATACATCAAACACACCCGGCTCGTCAAAGTGGTGCGCACATCAGAGCTGGAACCTGATGTCGAAGACTCCAAGGGCCGCAACGGACTCCACTGCCTCGCCGCCGCCATCCTCACTCAAGACACCCTACTGGCCAAGTACGGCAGCTGCCCTTCCATCTCATTAGCTCCGCGGGCGCAGCCACAACCCCAAGCGCAGCCCACGAATGGCCGGAAACGAAAACTCAACACCCCCTACCTGAACAAGAATCTATGCGACGCGTCGAACGAATCCCTCAGACATCGCGAGTCGCTGGTGCGCAGACTGCTGGAAGCGGGGGTGGACCCGAACCACTACGCCGCCGACGGCACCACGCCCCTCATGGCCTTCGTGGCCCACCTCCCCGAGGACGGCGACTACAAGCTGCCCGTGTCGATCCTGGAGCTCCTCATCGAAGCCGGGGCCCGCGTCGACGCCCGCAACCGCCAAGGCGAAACGGCGCTGCACGTCGCGGTGCGCCATGGCCGCAAGCTCGCCGTGCGGACCCTGGTCAAGAACGGTGCCTGCGTCCACGTCCGCGATGCGGCCGGCCGGAGCCTCCTGGACGTCGCTGACGCGCGCGTCGTCGGCGCCTCCCGCGACGAGAAGGCCTACTCCCATTACGAGGCCTCTCGGGCTTGGCTCTCCGGTAAGGAGAGCAAGGCCGTGCAGAATCCCACTGTGGCCATGGAGTGGGGTCTCGGCCTTGAGTCTTCTGGATGAGCCTCTGTTTCTGTTACCTCCAATTTTTTCTTGTTTTTCCGCTTTTGCCTTTATTTTGAAGCATTTTGTATTAGCGGAAGGGGGAAGACGGTACTGAATGTGTTCATGAGCACTTTCGAAAGACGAAATGACGTGCATCTGAACAGGGAAGAAAGTCGGCAAGAGGACCTGTGATACCAATTGTGAGGGTTTTGGATTAAAAGGCGTACTGTCCATCGGGTCCAAGAGTTGGAGTTTTGCAATGCCATGGGAATTGGCGATATTCTTTTCAAATTAACTGCTCAAGTTCTCACGCTCGAGTGTGCTCAGGTTACCCTCCCAAGGCGTCGTCCCGCGTGTCATACACTGGCCGCAACGTATTGCAGCCACGTCGAACAGTAGTCACAATGGTGCAACCATCTTGTGAAATCGAATCATACACTACATCTTCACATATCTATACCTCAGCTACCGGGATCCTCTTCATCTAGACGAGATAATAAACTGTGAGGTTCAGTTGCCGCTGTCGTTGGACCCCAAGTTACCTTATCTCGGGTCCCTCCCTACCATGGGCAAAATATCCCAGGACCCCCCAACCCTACCTAACGCCAGCCAACCATGCATCACGACTCTTTTGTGAAATGGATGACGACGCCCCCCCCAAAGAATCTGTCGTCCTCCAAGGGCTGGGTGCCCTTTGAGGACCTGAAAAGTTTGCTCTGTCATTGGTCATTTATTCACACCCCCCAGAAGACCAACCTCCAACCTCGAGTGGAACGGGAGAAATGGTGAGAAAACAACAGAAATGATCTGCCTGGTTTTCTGAAAACGTTCTCGAAACAACTGAGAATTAAAAGAAAAGATCTTCGCAAAAGTCCACATGCGAAGGAAAAGTATCGAGGTAGCTGTGTAGGGTGCGCGACTATGACGTTCCTACATTGAAACCCTTTCTTGCCGAGATCGCAGGGAGCGGAGGCATACTACGAGGCCGCGTGGTACACACGAAGATGCACGCAACGTATCAACCGCAGCCCTCGCAGCCAATGTATCCCTTCGCCCGCCCCCTTTCCCCGTCTTGGTGTTGCTTGTCGTTCTTTTTTACACGGGCAACTTGAACTTCTGCCCCTTGAGGACCTTGTTGTAGTAGATCCAGAAGAAGTCGCTGTAAAGGATGGTCTGGATGATGCCGGCAATGATGGCGATCCAGTCGACCTTGTGCTTCGGCTCGGTGGCATAGCGGTAGATCCAGTTGGGGATGTAGAGGGCGCGGTAACTTCCGAGGGCGAAGAGGTAGTGGGTCGTGATGGTCTCGGCCTCGCCGGTGCGCTGGAGCATGAAGAGCTGGGGTAAGATGGCGACCGACTCGAGCCAGATGGAGAAGGCCCAGAGGACCTCGGAGGCGGTGTAGTAGTAGGGAAAGATGATGGCGAGGACGGCGGCGCCGGCCAGCAGGTACTGCACACGGAAGGTGTCGAGGTTGGGGTCGTTGGTGGGCTTGTAGGCGGTGGCCATGAGGTAGATGATGTAGCCCTGGGAGCTGATGAAGAGGATCTTGAAGGCCAGGTTGTACAAGGTGTTCGTCGAGAAGAGGTCTGTTTGGTGGAGGAGACGTGGTTAGTCGTCTCATGGACAACAAAACCGCAAGGCAAGCGGAAGACCATGTGCAGACGTACCGAGATATCTAGTAATGTAGACGACGAAGTAAAGGACTTGTGACTTGAACGAGATGCCAGAACAGCTCTGCCAAACGAAGAACAAGTTGTCAGCAGGTTGGATTCGATGAGTCCAGAGGGGAAAATTCCGTGCGCGGGAGGAAGAACGAGTTGTTGCGCGTTAACTGACTTTTAGCTGAAGCATCTTGTGGAGGAGAATGCCGATACTCGCCAAGTGCGAGAAATCCGCTAAGAGGCCATCGTTAAACCATTGGGACTCCGAACGAAGCTCGTCGTGACCATCAGCGATCACGAAAGATAATCAGCCCACCTACCGAGGATGCGAAATATGTTCAACATGATGACGTCGAAAGTGGCCCCGGAGGGTTTGATGGGAGCAAGGCGGTAGTCAACGTGCCGTGTCGAGTAGCTGCTTCAAACAGCAGCAACGAAGAAAAGTTTTGGTTGATTGGTTTAATTATAATCGGGCCGGTCTGGTGTTGTCGTCGTTGTTGTCGTCGTTGTTGTCGTCGTTGTTGTCGTCGTTGTTGTCGTCGTTGTTGTCGTCGTTGTTGTCGTCGTTGTTGTCGTCGTTGTTGTTGTTGTTGTTGTTGTACGAAGTAGTCGTGTTTGTGGGGGGAGGGAGAAGAAGTATGGAGTAAGGTGTTTCTATCGAAGCTACCTTATTAGGAAAGGGAGACGAGAGCTTGTGATTATACGAGGTAGCCCCTTGTGAACTTTTGGCCTTTGCGTCGTGGGAACATTAGGGAAAGGACACGAACGCGCTTCAAAGCTGATTGGATTGGTCGCTTCTCGTTCCCTGTAACGCTCGAGACCCCGGCCTGGCCAAGCCAGTTTTCCGCCGTTACTCAGCTACTCTGTACCTCGTACCTCGTGTTCCGTACTAATACCGCGGGTTTATGCAATGCCGTGTTCCGGACCATGTGGGGCATGGGGAGTGACGTCGCGTCATTCTGTCCTGCCTAGAGATGCAAGCTGCTGACAAAGCACCATAATCATCTTCGTGCCCCTCGGACATAACCAACTCGGAAAGCCTGTCCTCGAGAATGACCACCGGGTCATTAAGTGCTTCTTAATCCTTCTCTGTTATTCTTCGTTCTCTTACACTCTATATCAGCTTAATAATGAAGCTAAATATGCCCTTCTTGTCCTTCTTCTATCTATAACATTGGGAGTTATACGTAACAAGCTGCGTGCCAATTCCTATCCATCTACACATCCTCATTCTTCGACCACTTCCTTCAACAACTCGAAAGCTGACCTCGATTATTCGCATAAGACATCAGCACAATGGCAGACGACCACAGAACCTCTGATCCCGTAAATGGGCCAGCGGACGACATCACCATCACCATCACCCACCGCAACACTCCTCACAGCTTCACTTTCGACTCCACTGCCACAATATCCGACCTTTCCTCCACCATCGAGCTCCAACTCGGCATCCCAGCCGCGAACCAAAAGTTTCTCATCCCGAAACAAGGCCTACAACAACCACCGTTTAAGAACCCGTCCCTCCCCCTCGCACCACTCCAATCCACCAAAATCCAACTCCTCGCCCCGCCCCCGCAAGAACTCGCCTCCCTCCAAGCCGCCTCCGACCTAGCCGCCCGGCGCGCCCAAGCCCGCGCCCAAGCCGCCTCCCGCACCGCCGCGAAACCCTTCCCGACAAGCCGGACCAGCACCCGCGCCCGCGAGGAAGAGACCTACACCTTCCTCACCCTACGCCCCCTCCCCTGGCTCCCGCGCCCAGACCGCAGCCTCGCCATGCTGCAGCGCCTCAAGTCCGACCCGGGCATCCGCGCCGCCATGCGCACCCACCGCTTCACCGTCGACCTCCTCACCGAGATGGAACCCCTCTCCAACACCGCCTCCACGCACGAGGGCACCTCCCGCCTGCTCGGCTTGAACCGGAACAAGGGCGAGGTCATCGAGCTGCGCCTCCGCACCGACGCCCACGACGGCTACCGCGATTACGCCACCGTCCGCCGCACCCTCTGCCACGAGCTCGCCCACAATGTCCACGGCGACCACGACCGCCACTTTTGGGACCTCTGTCGTCGCATCGAGCGTGAGGTCGACGCCGTGAGCGCGGGTCGCACTACCGCTGATGATGCCGGTTACTCGTTCGCCCCCGCGCGAGGGGGAGAAGAAGAAGAAGAAGCCGGAGAATACAATGTGCAAGACCACGGAGGCTGGCAGGGGGGCGAGTTTGTCGTCGGTGGTGGGGAAGGCGTGCCGAGCAATCAGGGCTTGAGCAGGAGGGAGATACTGGCGCGGGCGGCGGAGGAGAGGTTAAGAAGGATGAATATGGAGCGGCCCGACGGTGGGAAACCTGATTCTGGGCCCGGGACACCCGGGTGAGGACATGTGAGGGTTGGTTCGGTGTCTTCGTGCATGCCGTGTGATACAAGATGTATGTTTCTTCCAAAGGACGAGCATGTTTTGAGTTGGCATTTTTGGTTAGCGACAGTTCGACTCCATGGCATTTCTTCTGGGATAATAAAACAATACCAAAAACAACCATCAATATTACAATGACCTTTACAACATAAACATTCGCAAAACCACCCGATTATTAATCGAAGTACTCGAAAAGAGCTTGCGGTCAGCCCCGGGAAGAAAGGTATGTGAGAATTAGCTAGACATAACACAAATACACGGATGGACTTCAGCCAGCATGTAATTTAGACGCTGCTATGAACACCCAGAATCCATAATACTCCAGTGCGCATGGACGACGCCAGAATAAAGCAATAGAGAAAAAGAAGGAGAAAAAAAAGAAGAGAAGAAGACAAGAAAAGGGGGAATAAAAAGAGAGCCATGCCGTCGAAGGCCTCCAGCTCTCCCAGTCAAATCCAGATAAGTCATGTCTCGTGATCTGTGTGCAAGAGTCCCGTATCGTCATAGCATTCTTCCTCCCTGCTGTGCGCGTACAAAGATGAGCAAAGAAGAGGCACGCAAAAAGAAAGAAAACCCCCCGCAGGATCCGAGTCCAAATGATGCCCGGCGAATGAACAGTTCCCCTCAAGCCTCAAATTCCCTTGCCCAAAAAGTGAGCCGAGACATCTGGAAATGTCGAGATGCTTTTTCTATGTACCGGATATCGTCACGTCATAAAGGCCGCAAGACGAGACTGTTTGCGAGCCATGTCATGTTCGTAGCCCTCCTCCTTTCCTCACAAAAGAGTCGAGTACTCAGCCAAAATGGCGTGGCTTGCAAGCCTCGACAGTGCGTCTGGCCGTCGCCATCATTTGTGACAGGTTCTTGAGAATCGGGTCATTCCCTCGAGTGTTGCTGATGCGGACGAAGAGATTCTCCGTGTTGGCAATCAAGAGGTTGAAGATCTTCGGGGTAACTGCGCGTGCATCGGCATCCTGGAAGAAAAAAAAATTAGAATACGACGGATCAGAAGGTCTGCAAGTGGTATGTATGGGCAAAGGGAACTCACCAGCGACTCGAACTCATTGTGCAAAGTATGAACCACAACCTCTAGCCATGCCACCCTCTCACGGGTCGAGGTGTCGAGACTCTGGCAAATGGTTGTAGCAACAGTAAGCAGGATCAAACCGGGCATACCGGCAAGGATCGTCTGCGGACTGAACTTGCTCATAAACTTCTCGAAAATCACCTGCTCTCGGCCTGACTGCAGCCATCGGAGCAGCGCCTCCTCGGCTCTTCCCGTCTTGACGAGAGAGTCGAGAATTGCCATCTGGTCTGCCAGATCTTGATCATACTCCGTGTTGCCGCTGCCCGCGTTAGCAGCGTTGGGCGCCAGCGCCTGTGAGGGCGCATAGTTGCCCGTGGTGTGAGAAACGCCGTGGGAATGGGCATGAGACTGAGGGTAGGCCATAGAATGATGGGAGCTCTGCGGGCTGTGCATCACGCCGTAGCCGTGGCTGCCCTGTTTCTGCATGGTCTGCATGTGCTGTTGCATCTGTTGGAGCTGATGCTGCATGTGGCTGTGCGCCTGGTCGTGGCCCTGCACCGGCGCCGTGGGAGACACCTGTTGCTGTTGTCGCACCTGGTGTTGCTGATGCTGCTGCTGCGGCTGCTGACGATGCTGCTGTTGCTGTAGGGCAGGAGCCTGGGCCTGAGCCTGAGCCTGTGCCTGAACCTGTGCCTGCGCCTGCGCCTGTGCCTGTGCCTCAGCATGTGCCTGAGCTTGGGCCTGTGCCTCTGCCTGAGCCTCAAGCATCTCTCGCTGGAACCGGATGAACTCGCCCTGGAACTGCTCCTGGGAGGCTGCCATGCCAGAGACCATGCTAGTGAGTTGCGTGACAACAGCGCTGAGCTGGTCGATCTTCTTGGCGTCCGTCGCACGCTGCGCATTCATGGCCTCCAGCTCCGAGTGGTGCTGGCGCTGCATTTCATCGGCGACGCGTTGACATGCCGTGGCAGCCACGTGGTTGAAGGAAGTAGACAGGCGGCTCGTCAGAGTGTCGAGAATCTCGTGCTCGACGCTGGCAGCGACAGTGCTCCCCACTCGATCCGAGATGGCTTTCACAAACTCCTGTTTCTGTAGGGCATGCTGGGTCGCGCTGGGGAGGGCTCGATGGATCTCCTTGTGAACGGAGTGACTGATCTCCTCAGACATGCTAGAGCTGAACTGATCGGCCACCGCCTTGCGAGCCACATCCGAAATGGCCGGGATGACCGAGTGGGTGAATTGATCCTGAATGAGCGACTCGAGGACTTTCTGCGTATTCTCGTTAAGAACCTCGGAGACCATGTTGAGCAGTTTCATCTGGCGCTGATCAAAGTCTTTCTCGCGCTCACGATGCCCATCTTCGATCTTGTTGTACAGAGTCTTGAGGCCGGCGTTGATGGTGCCAGCGAAGCTGCTATTAAGGCGCGATTCCATGGTGCCGAGGACGGCTTCGACCGACTCTTGGCTGATGTTGCTGGGTGGGGTGGCAGAGGTGGCGGCGGCCGGCTTGGAATCCTTGGCACCAACACGGGGTGAATGGCCACTTCCGTTAGACTGCGGCTCAGCCGCCAGAGCGCCAGCGGCAGCCGCCTTCTTCTTCCGGCTCTTGCGTTCCTGCTTCTCTTGCTTCTCTTGCTTTTCTTGCTTCTCCTCCTTGACCGGGGTAGGAGCCGGGGTTTCTTCGGTAGTGACTTCCTGCTTCGACTTCGTGGGAGCGGAGGTTTCGGGGCCCGCGGTCCGCTCGGACTCTTTGCTGGTGTTGCGGACAGCAGTATGAGTAGGCTGCGTGGTATCATGAGGGATCGGTTCCGCAGGCTGAACGGCAGGGGCTTTAAGCTTCGAAATTGAAACCACGCCGGCGTCCACGGCCGACATGGGGGCGAGGACTTTGTTGTCCTTGGACCAACCAAGCTCTGCCTGCTTCACAAGCACGCATGCGACCCCCTTAGAGTGCATGCCGTAGAGTTCGAAGAGGGTCGGCTCGTCGGAATCCTGGCTCATAGCAGGGTTCGGCAGAAGGTCGAGGCTCCGGAGAATTCCCCTGTTAGCGAACGAATACTCACGGACGCCACTAATCACTGCCGTAGAGTCGGGCTGGGGGATGGATGCGTCCTGAGCGACGAGCCTCTGAATGTATTCGACCTGCGAGACGCTCTTGAGGTTGTACTTCGGGGCCGACAAATGGGCAAAGTAGATGGAGTTGCGCGTGGGATGACCAATGACGAGCATGCCGGTTTGCGGGTGATACATCACGCTGCAGACAGCATCCGACTCCTTGCTATGGGGAAGGTTGAACTCCTGCACGGGCTTGCCAAGGGCCAGATCCCAGAGCTGCAGGGTATGGTTCTGCTTCATGCCGACAATCATGTAGCGCAAGGCGCACCGCTTCTGGTACGGGCGGAGCTTATCCACCAGAAGCACAGAAGTCGGCCAGGCCTTTTCACCTTCCGGAGTGCTTGTCAGAGTCAAGAGCGGCTCCTTGACCTCGAGAGACGTATGTGCGGGAACGGGGGCGCGAGGATCGCAACCTTCCTTGGCGGCAATCAGATCGCGAACATCCCAGAACTTCACCCGTCCGGACTTGTCGAGCGAGACAATGACGGAATCGTCTTGGCTGAAGGTGAAGTCCTTGCCAGCCTTGCCAGTGTTGATTTTCAACGAACACTGCTTCGCCAATGCCTCGGTGTCAACCAAGCGGTCGTGGCCCGGCTTGATCAAGTTGTTCTGCATGATGAAAGACGGCCAGATGATGTTGATCGACTTGCCCCGGCCGACGGCGAAGAATTCCGGGTGAATGGTGGATGGCCTGGCACGCGTCTTGAGCACGCCGCCCGGTGCGTCGCCTCCTTCATGCATTGGTGACAGCGCGAAGCCGTGCTGCTCGGGATGGGTGTCCTCGATGTGGTCCTTCTCACCGTGTCTGATCTGCAGCCAGTAGACGGTACCACTGATGCCAGTGCCGATGATGGCCTCCCGATGAGCGCCAGTGTGGTCGGAAGGAGTGACAGACATGGCGACGTTGAAAATGCGGTCCTTGGTGTCGGTGAAGATCTTGGCATCTCTACCATCTTCCTGGCGGATGACACGAAGCCCGCCGGCCTTGGACATGCCATAGACCATGTAGTTCTCCGTCGCGGTGTACAGATTCCGATCGATCTGATCAAACTCCTTCTTCAGGCGAGCAATATCCATAATAGATTCCTCGCGAAACTGAGGCCTCTCGTAAGAGCTGTCGTCCTTGACAGCGATGGAAATCCAAGGCTTCATGGGGAAATTGAAGACCTTGACGGGAGGGGGAGCTTCTTCTTCGATGACGACGATCTCGTCCTGATCCGCACTCTCCCAGCTGTCTGCCACGCCCTCGGTAGGCTCCGCAGCGTCCACGGGCTCCCCGGTGGGCTCGCTGGGTTCGACGGGCTCAGAAGACGACGCCACGGTGGCTTGGGCGGCAGCCTCCTCGACAATTTCGCGAACCTCCTGGGCAACCTCGGGGGGCACCGCCTCCTCCAAGATGCCATTGTTCTCCTCGCGGTCCAGCTCCTTTTTGATGGCCTGGGCGGCTTCGCGGGTGCTCTCCTCGAATTCCTTGTCAGTGCGTGCGGCGCTCATGTCGTCCAGGCTCTTCATGTATTCCGGCTGAGCTTGGGGCTCCTCGTCTTCAGCCCGGGCTAAAGCCTCCTGGGCTTCCTGGTTGGCCTTCTCAGCGATGTCGTCGATGGCTTCAGAGACTGTCTCCCTGGCCCTCTCCTCCGACGGGATGGACATTGAGGCAGTGGAGCCAGGGGTATGGTTGGGCGAGGCCCAAGCTTGGCCTCCCTTGCTACGAAGATGCTCGGGGCTGGCAAGGGGGCTGCGTCCGTCCCCGATGCTCCTACGGTCACTTCCATGGTGTGAAGCAACGGGCGAATCGTGCGACTTCTTGAGGATCTGGAACGGCGGTCCGGCGGGAGAGTGTCCAGCTGAGTGCGCGGAGCTCTGGGGAACAATGGTTACCGAGCCGGACTTCGGAGTGTGATTTTGCGACGACGACACACGGGGCTCTTCATAAGCGGTACTGTAGCTGCTTCCATAAAGCCTCGATGCAGGCATGTCAGCATCATGGTGATTCGGAGGAAAGGCATAGGGGCCGTAGATGGTAGCTGGCTCCTCTTCAAACGGGCTTCTCTCGTAATCGTAACCGTTCTGAGGCGGGAGCTGGGCCGTGGGGTAGCCGTTGGGGGCAGCCTCAAGGACGTGATGGAGGTGTCTCGTGGCATCGGGGTGGGCGTCGGGCGAATGATCGAAGGAGCCCTGGTAGTGGCGCGGCTGGGCCTCTGAAAGCAAGGGCTGGTCATGCTGGCTTGGCTTTGGGCGATTGAGCAAGTTCAAGAGGTAGGCGCGTGTATCATCCGAAGGCGACGAAGCATCAAAGGAAGAGGCCGGCACAGGAGCAGGCACAGGCATGTGAGCAACGACGTTGGGTGAGTCCTGGCGAGATTCGTCATTCTCGTGAGCTCCGCTCATAAGAGCGCGGAGGAGGCCGCTCGGGTCCTGCGAAGTGGGGGCAGGAGCGAGAATCTGGCTTGGGAAGGACGATGACATGGTAATGGGAGGCTCATTGTCTTGCTCGTCATGATGAGGCTGGTGCTGAGGCTGGTGCTGGTGCTGGTGCTGAAGCTGGTGCTGATGCTGATGCTGATTCTGGGCCTGGTGATGGTGCTGGGCCTGATGCTGGTGTTGGGCCAACTGCTGCTGCGGAGGCGACTGGTGCTGGTATGGCCCTTGGCGAGCTTGGGCAGCGTGTGAAGCGTGACTACCAGTTCCGCCGAACTTGAGCAAATTCAGCAGATTGGAGGTACGTTCGCCATGGTTGGGAGCGGACATGTTGCCGCTGGGAGGAGTAGGAGCTGGAGGCGGCAAAGGTGACACCATGGCAAGTGCCGATACCAGCGTTTGTCGAGAGAATTTACGATGCCGGAGATGAAGGAGAAAGAGTAAACGGCCAAGACAAAAAGTAAGAGAGAGAAAAAAAGAAAAAAGGAAAACTGCGACCGTATTAAAGGCTAACAAACGGATTGAAAGCCAAATAAATGCCTTCCGCCAAAGAAAGACGAGGTGATGGACGGAGTTAAGTCCAGTTTGGCGGAAGAGCTGGAGTCGAAAGTTGAGGAAGAATAAAATTTGGGCACGGGTCTATGATGGGGGATGGCCAGGCAAGAGGAGGCTGGCGTCGCTTGCTGGAGCCCAACCTACCAACTCACGCCAACTCATCAAGGGCCAGGAAGGTGCAGGGATAATTTAGCGGCAGGCTCGCGAATAAGGTAGGCGGTGTATCTTGGCAGAAATGCGGATGATGATAATACGAACCACGAAGTATCATTTTTCTTCCAAGTTCAGCATGATTGGCGGTCAGACCCAAGCGGCGTGCCCAGTCGCTACCGTATTCGTACGAGACTCAGTACTCCAGAGTATTTCGTGCACAAAAACTCCGCGTGTTTCTCAACAATAAGGTACCTTAGTCCGTATGCCACCAATATTCCACGCACTGAAGGATAAATCTTGATGTGCGAATAGCTTTTGTGAGGCCACTATACTTTCAGTTGCGTGTATACCGTAATTACCTTAGTCGGATTTCGTATGGGTAAGGTACCTATCCATACACATCCTGTGGTCTACACGAAGTAAACCATTGATGCTCAGTGCCAATTAGTAATCATTAAAAGTTCGCGACCATCTGGGAACATTGGCAGCGAGCATTCGCCCTGACCTCGTTTCTTTCCCTTTCTCGGACACGTACATACAGGAATTAATACTCGAAACGGACTCTTGATGCATCGGGTTCTCCCCGCCGAAAACCCATTTGTACCAGAAGCAACAGCATTGATCACGATACACGGCTGTTTTTTTTTTTTTTCTTCTTGGTTCAATATCGCCATGTTCTGTTTAAGGAGGTAAGCCACCCTACCACTCTTATGGACCCCTATCGAACGGAACTTGAACATTTGCAGTATCAAGACACTGATAAATCATGCTTTCTACTGTAGCTGGCTCCCGCTCCTGTTCATCCCCACCAACGCCTCGCCAGCTTTCATATTCCTCTTCTTCATCTGCACCTACTTCCTCAACCGGCCCTGCGTCTATTGCAGCTTCCTGCTGCTGATCCTCTTCCTCACATCGTGCAACTGGTCGGACCAGTGCTTCTTCGACTTCAGCAGCAACTGGTTCCTGCCACGCGGGCCTGCGACGCCGAGCCTGCCCGGACTAGCAGCCGACGATGCCCCCGGTTTCAACGCCACCGTCGTGGAGGTGCTGAACTCGACAGCCAGCGCGCTCGCTGGTGCCGCGGCCGATGATCTGGCACGACGGAAACAGGAGTGGACTGGCCTGGGTCTGGAATGGCTCCGGAGCCTGTTGGGAAGAAGAGAGTGGAGGATAGATTGCCTCGATGTCAGTATCAGGCTGTAATGCAGGGCGATGAGAATGAAAGCGAGAACATGCGGTTTTGCGAGGGAATGCCAACGAAAAATAGAAGTGTCGTGCCGTGTATGAATCCGCGGCTAATGATAGCGTCATAGGTATTAGCCTGTATTTTTTTTCTTCTTCTTCTTCTTCTT